CGTGACGCTGCCATACTGCTGCTCGTCGATACCTGCGCGAGGCGATGACTGTCCGCCGCTCGTCGTGACGCTGCCATACTGCTGCTCGTCGATACGCCATCTTTTGCTCGTTCTAACGGTCCCCACCCACCTGTAGATTTAGTACTCACAACGCGCTCCTCAACACCTTTGACTCCATCAACGCATTGCGTACAGACAACGCGCTCCTCAACACCTTTGACTCCATCAACGCATTGCGTACAGTACAAAATGGTCATGCGATCCCCCGTCGTCAAAGACTTGTTCTGCCCCGATGCACGCACGCGCGTGCCTGCGTCGCCTTTCCACAGTTGACGCCAGAGTGACAGCGGTGTGCGAGCGTTGCAAGAGAGCGCCTTGGATGGCGTGGCAGTCGCGATTCGTTTGCGTTGCGCGAGCGTAGTGGACAGGAAAGAGGCGCCGCGAAACGAATCGGCGCGACACAAATCCGCGCGGCCCGCTCATGACCCCATCTAGATGCTCATCGTTTGCGCGACGCAATCGCGAGTGGCGATGCCGTCGCCGTGGGGGCGGTCCGCGCCGTCAAGCAGACGTTTCGATCCCGATAGCAGTCGCGAGGGAGGGGCGGCAAATTCTGCGGTACCGTTGGCGGCGGTGGCAACGAGAGACAGATAGAGGACCCATTCGTATTGTGCGCCATTGCGGGTGTGGATTCGACTTTGGGGCGCGCACGGGTGGATGTGTGTATGCGCTGCCGGGTGCGAGAGAGAGAGAGCGATGCGCAAAGCGGTCGTGCATCACGAATGAGGTGCGCGGGTCCTGCCAGCCCGCGAATTTCACAAGAGTCCGCGCGCGCGCGACGCACGACGCGCTAGTCACGTGATCAAGCACCGTGCGGGCGAGCAGCGCGCCAAAACTCCATCACTTTTTGACTGGTGGCTCGGGCGCGGCGCGATTTTCTTCCGAGGCGGTAGCGCGAGCGCAACGCCGCGAGTCACTTCGCGTCCGCACCGCGCTGCTGCCTTCCAAGCTTGGCCTTTTGCGTGCGTTGACGGTTCTTGGATCGCGCCGAGAGGACCGGACGAGGAACACTCTGCCAGACTGGAAAGTCGTCGCAGGTAGGTAGCTGCGAGTAGCGCTGCAGAATAGCTTGCTGGGTGTATGCGACCATGGACATGCGCGTACCAACAAGCGTGTTGGCATTGCGATGCGTGCACAGTGCCGAGGGAAAGATGGTGACGTCCATGGCGCGATTGTGGATCGCTATGCCCACTTCGTCTAGGCACAGCGCCGCTCCAGTAAAGTCGCCTAGCGCAGTGACGACGCACAAGCCCCACTGAGCATCCCTCTTGTCGCGATGAGCAGTCATGCCGGTAGACGTTGTTGGCATGTTGATTGCTGCCGAACACCAAGGCGACATCAGCGCCGCTCGACGTTGCTCCATCTCTTGCACAATGCGCGCAGTCATCACCGAGCGGTATGCTCGCTTTGGCGCAACGTTGAGGAGACTAGGATGAAGTCGAACGTCGTTGTACTTTTTGTACACGCGGGGAAAGCCCACGCTCATCGCCTCGCGCATGCGTCTCAAGAGACGACCGCCGTCGGCACCATAGAGAAAAGGTAGAATCGACTCGCGGTAATCTTTGATCTCGACATTGTAGTTGGTGCCGTCCAGCGCAGCCCTGCTGGTTCCTGAAGCTCGGAGATGGGCGTGCAACGCACCAAAGACGTTGCCGTTGCAGCTGCGAGACGGCTCGATGGGGTGTGCTGGAAGAGAGAGCGCTTGGGCCCAAAGCGAGAGGTTCGTAGTCTCCTCTTCAAAGATGATGCGCTGTTGTTGAAGTCGACGGCGCAGCTTGTTGTGCTTTGCATTGACGGTGATGACGTTTCTGGGCTTGGCGCGCAAGTGGCGCGTCTTGTGAAGTGCGAGGGAGCTGTCGTCGATGGCGCGCTGCGCTGCTTGGAGTCGTTGTTCGGCATCAAGTGCCTGCGTGAGGATGCGCTCGACGGAGGAAGCAAGTTCGTCCCACGGTTGGTGCCACATTGTCCCTCGCTTGCGTTTGCGTGTGCTCGCGCTCGCGTCGTCGCTCCCCTCTTCGTGTGCGCTCGCGCTCGCGTCGTCGTGCGCGCCGGCGCTCTCTCGCTCCGGCTCTCTCGCTTGACCAGGCAAACTCCAACGCTGAGAGACAAAGAGTCTGTGCGTGCGGTCAAAGACGAAATCCCACTCGAAATCGCCGCCGCGCAAATCGAGCGTGGCGTCGTGATTTGGACCGTTCCATCGATCGAGCAACGAGACGCCTCGATAGGATCTCGCTCGATTGACTCGCTCCAGCAGTGATCTTGGCGCCACGTCCGCGCCCGCGCCCGCGCCCGCTTCCTCGAGGTCGTACTCCAGACAAATGGTTGCGCGCACCGATCTGCCCTTGATCCGCGCTGAATATACGCGAAACAAGTGGTTTTGCGGCGATGGCAGCAGGACGATCGTCCACGGCGACGTCGACGTCGACGTCGACGTCGATGCTTCCGTGTCGTCGTTGCCGCCAAAGAAGTCGTCGTCGGCGAGTAGTTCGCCCGACGGCGCGCAACCTTTGGCCAGTTGCTCGCCCGACGGCGCGCCGCCAAAGAAGTCGTTGGCGAGCTGCTCACCGCGCAATACGATGTTGGCATGCGTGAGGTGCTCTTTGGCATCCCCGTCGAGCGTTGCTAGGTCCACTCGTCCAGCAAGCAAGTGTCGCTTACAGCCCCTGAAAGAGTTGTTGACTTGAAAATTGCGCGTCAATAGTCGGTCTTGAGGCATTCGAGCGCGCCAACGGTTGTCGTCGTGCGAGACGATGACAGTGGCGTCGCGCTGCGTGGAGAGATCGTGAGGCTGCGGGTCGTCGTGCGAGCCGATGAGAGTGGCGTCCTGCGTTGACGATTCGCGAGGAGTCGCGTTGTTCGAGCCGATGACAGTGTCGTCCTGCGTTGGCGATTCGCGAGGGGTCGCGATCTTCGAGCCGATGCCTGCGTCGTCCTGCGTCACTCGCGAGTTTACAGAGTCGTCTCCCGAGCGAATTGTAGGGTCGCCCCGCGTCAACATCGGCGGGATCGAGTCGTCGTCGCGCGTCACTTGCGGGGCTTGCGAGCTTGCAAAGTCGTCTCCCGAGCCAATTGTAGGGTTGCCGCCCCACGCAGCATCGTCGTCGTCGTCCTCTCCCCACGCACCGCCGTCGCCGCCTGCGCACGCAGAAAGGCAGGTCACGTCAGCTCGCAGTGCCGACTACAATTGTCTTTTGGGCTCGCACACGCACACGCTCACTCGGTACTCGGTACTCGCACACGCGCACTCGGTACTCGGCACTCGCTCACGCTGACGCTCACTCCTCGCTCGCTCCCACTCACTCCTCGCTCGCTTGCTCGCTTACGCTCACCTGCTCTCGCCCGCTCGCATCGCACGCGCACCACTGCAATCCCGCAAAGAAACGCCTCGAGCCCGCTAGGTGTACCCGATATACGAGCTGTCTGCCAAACATTCGGAGCAATCACTTGAGCACGCTTTGGCCCACCGCCACAAAAGGCAACTCCGATGACGTCAAACGGAGGACATGCACCATACCATCACACAGACGGTATGGCAGTATCCCCTTTCGAATGAAACGATTCCGGCAAGAGACGCGGGCGCGCGAGCGTCCCCTTTTTTGGGAATCGTCTGCGCACGCGGCTCCACAGCAGTACTCGATTGCTCCGTTCAACAGACAACCACCCGTGGCAAAATCGACGTTTTCCCGTTGCGATTGCAGAGCGTCTGCGCGGTCCGAGAGAGCGAGAGAGGGAGCGCGAGAGAGCGCGCGAGAGAGAGAGAAAGCAAAGGCGAGCAGACAACAGCGCTCAGCGGAAGCGTCCGAGGGAGCGTCGATGGCTTGCTCGCTGCGAGGGATGCGGATACAGCGAGCAAGCGATGCCTCGATGGCTTCCTCGCTCGCCCCGAGGGATGCGTCGATTGTTCACATTCGCCCCGGGATGCGCAAACCGCCCGCTGGCCCGCTCGCTCGCTCCATTCTTCACGCTTGCGCGCGCGGCTCACTTGATTCGACGGTCGGCAGGGCGTACTGCTCGAGGTCAGACAGATCCGTGAGGTCGCTCTCGGTGTCCGAGCTGGGCTCAGAGCTGAGCGTGGATGCCTCTTCTTTACGGCGCTTGCCTCTGCGCTTGGGCGCGTGTTTGCGCTTCACAGCTGGACAATCGGCTCGTTGAAGCGCGAGCAAGATCGTCGTAACCTGCGGCAAGTGTGGCCGTTTCAGGGCCTCGTCGATGCGAGCCTTGAGGGAGTCGTCCATGGCGGCGTCGCAAGTCGCGAGAGGTGGATGGGAGGGAGTTGCCGTTGGGTGATTGTCCGCAAGAAGACGCTCGATCGTCCCCGATCCGCTCGCACGTTGGCTGGCGCGCCGAGGGGCTCTCTCGCGAAGGACTGATGGTGCGCGCTCCTCCTCTGCCCGTGTGCCTCGCTCGTCATCGAGCGTCGCGTCGGTGCCCGTGTGCCAGCACCATCCTTTCGCTCCCTTCCTGCCCCGCTGCCTCGCCATCCTTTCCGCTCCTGCCCTGCTCCTTTGCCCCGGTCATTCTGTCTCTGCTTTCCTGCCCCTCCGCGTCTGTCGCGATGATGCAGACCCATGCACGGTCTTGCGCTAATGTTGTCGTCGTCAAGCTCCGCTCGAGCGCTGCGCATGTGCTCCGATACTGTATGGCACGTCATGTGGACTCACACTGACGAATGGCGTGGTGAGCGAGGGCGAGAAGCGAGGAGGAGCTGTTTTCGCACCTCGAGCCGCTCTCGGTGACGATTGCAGTGCAGGAGCGCGCTTCTGAGCGGCACCGAGTAGTGTAAGAGCGAGACTTTTCACACATTCACGCCCAGTGACTCGCGATTGGGGAGCGCGTGCGGCGTGTATGCGCTTCGGAGGGCCATTGGCTCGTCGCTGGACCTCTCTCTCGTCCTCGAGCGCGTCACGGCCGACCGCTTCGACGAAGAGAACAAGCCCACATTGGTCTTGAAGGCGAGCGTTGCATGCATTCATGTACTGGTGGTCGAGCGCGTTCAAAGCGTCGCCGTTGGAAGGGTAACAAGGCGAGTGAACAGCATGCTCCGCGCGCGGCCAGCTCACTCCTGTTTTGAGGGGGGGGGGCGAGATCAACAACGCCTTTCCAGGGCGGCCCGAGGTCAGCACAAAGGGCTCGACCACAATACAACGTAAAAGGATGGTGAGCTGTGCATCGTCAAATCTCAAGATCGGATAGAAGATCGCATATCAAGCGAGCGAGCGCGCGTTGCGGTCGTTGATTGGGTTCACCTCGCTCGCGGTCCTCTTGGAGGCTGCACCGCAAGCGCATCGCTCGCTTTGCTGATTGTCGGTGGCTGTGCTGTTGTACCGCTCGCTGATTGTTGGTTGCATGCGCGTCAATGACTGCCTACTTTTGTAGCGTTCCCTCGGACTTGGCCAGTCGTCAAACGTGACCTTGATACTGACAAGGCGACGGCATTGCTAGAGTGGACGTGATGCGCACCGTCGGTCGCACCGAGCCGTTCGCGTTCCCGTCCGCTCGCCGTCTCATCGCTCGTCGGTCTCTCACCTAGTGTAGGCGTATCACTCGCACGTCTGCCCCTCCTCCGCTCGCCGTCTGACCGCCCGTCGTGGGTCGAACATCGAGGGGCTTGATCTGTCGCACCCTCGCATCGCCCGTCGAGACGCCCATCCTCGCATCGCCTGGCACCTCGTCGAGACCAATGGGTTGCCCGCCTGTCTGCCCGCCCGCCCGCTCATTCGCGCAACCGCCCGTCCGTCATCTCATCGCTCGTCGGCAGTCCGATCGCATCTCCTCACCTCGGTCAGGCGTACGAGTCGCACCACTCGACCGTCCTTGTGGCCCGCTCTTCATCGCATCGCACGCCCGCACGGCCGCCCGCCCGCCCGCCCGCCATCGCATCCAGCACCTCGAGCTGATCGTCGCCGCGTCGCCTCGCCGATCGCATCCCCTCACCTCGTCGGCATTCTTCCCATATTGCGGGTCATTCGCACGCTCACGACGCAGAACCGACAGCATTCCATTCCGAGCGTAAGGTCGCGTCCTCCGAGCTCGTCCCCATTCGCATCGCTGTGTCTGGGGATGGCGGAGCGTGTGAGCACGACCAAACGCCAACACAGGTCGTGAGGTAACGAGAGACTCACCTACGTCGGAGTCGATGATGCGATGCTCGCTCGCCCGCGCATCCATTCGCTCGCTCGTATCGCCCCCGCAACCATCCCCTATCGCACCACTGGATGCGCGAATGCGCCAATGTCAGCGCCAAGAGCGACTCACCAATCGTGAATGAGGGGTCAAGAGAGAGCAGGGCATATACAAAGGCGAGGTTGCGATCCGATGAGACGACCAACGGATGGATGGATGGAAAGGCGTACACGCAAGGCGGTTGGCGGAGCCACATGACCGCAGAATCGCGTCCCAGCACGACTGAGATTACCTCGGACGTCGACAGCGTGCTGTGCGGGGCGAAGGCACGCGCCGAGGCTTCGCTCGAGGGTTCGCTCGAGGCACGCGCCGAGGCTTCGCTCGAGGGTTCACGCCAAAGCTTCGCTCGAGGGTTTGCGCCAAGGCTTCGCTCGAGGGTTCACGCCAAAGCTTCGCTCGAGGGTTCGCGCCAAGGCTTCGCGCGAGGCACGCGCCAAAAGCTTCGCTCGAGGGTCCGCTCGAGGCTCGACGGATGCCTCGACGGAAGGCTCGCGTCGCGCTACGCGTCGAGGCTAGCGCCACAGGTACGCGTCGAGCCTTGGCCGGGAAGCACGCGTCAAGGGTCGCGCCCAGGCACGGCGGGAAGCACGTGCGGAGGCTCGACGGAAGCCTCGACGGATGCCTCGACGGAAGGCTCGCGTCGCGCTACGCGTCAAGGCTCGCGTCGAGGTACGCGTCGAGATACGCGTCAAGGCTCGCGCTGAGGTACGCGTCGAGGCACGGCTCGAGCTTCGTCACGTGGCTCGACAAAAGGCTTGCCGCGAGGTATGCGTTGGAGGCTCGCGGGAAGGTTCGCGGGAAGGTTCGCGTGAAGGTTCGCGGGAAAGTTTGACGGAAGGTTCGCGGGAAAGTTTGACGGAAGGTTCGACCCGAGCTTCGCGGGAAGGTTCGAGCGGAGGGTCGCTCGGAGGGTCGCCGGAAGGTTCGACCAGAGGGTTGGTGGGACGTTCCGCGCGAGGGTTGACTGGACGCACGCCGGAAGGCTTGGTGGGACGCTTGGTGGGAGGCTCGGTCGAAGCTTAGGGTTAGGGTTAGGGTTAGGGTTAGGGTTAGGGTTAGGGTTAGGGTTAGGGTTAGGGTTAAGGGTTAGGGTTAGGGTTAGGGTTAGGGTTAGGGTTAGGGTTAGGGTTAGGGTTAGGGTTAGGGTTAGGGTTAGGGTTAGGGTTAGGGTTAGG